CTTTTTGTAACACAACCTTAGAAATGACATTCTCTCACTCTTGCTATATTCTGCTCATTAGAAGCAAGTTAGAAGGTCCAGTCCATGTTCAAGGAGGGAATCACACAAAGGTGTGACTAGCAGGAGGCAGAGCTCATTGGGGGACCACTTAGAGGCTGCCTACCACAGAGATGGAAACAAAGAACTAAAAATCAGGGTAGTAATATATTTACCAGTTCTGTCTGCTGACAGAGGCTATATTCAAAGATACTCTATTAGCAAGAAACATACTGAGTACCTAGATCTTCGTTTCTAAATAGCATTCCAGGATTCCTTGGAGAAATAGCTGATTGTACAGCTGAGGCAGGAAATATGAAGGATGAGCCTGGAGCATCTTGTAGTTCTAGTAAAAATGAGATAATTGAAAAACAAAAGACATACATGAGCCAACCTAAAAGAGCTCCTAATGGACAAAGAGGAAACAATTTGAGAAAAAAATCATACCATAAATATATAACAAAGTATGTAATAAATATATAAGTCTGTAAAAATAAATGTTTGGCTATAAGACAAATCTTCCTTACAAAAGAATTCTAAATAACATATAGATATATTCCCCATCAGGAGTTGAAGTCTAATCCTGTACTTCCCTTGAGATTGGGGAGGATTTAGTGACTTATTTACTTTTAAAAAAAAAGCATACAGACAGGGGCAAAAATGCAACTTCACAGTGAAGAAACTAGCACACTCTTCCATGGTCAGCTAATCAAGGTTAACGTCACTAGTAATAAGTTATGCTGATAACATATGATGTAATGAGGCACGAATCTCAATGTGTAGTATTTTCCTCAAATCCTATAACCACAGTCTAATTATGTGAAAAATAAGACAAACTCATATTAAGGAATAGTTCACAAAATACATGATCTGATGCCTCAAAACTGTCATTATCACAAAAAGGTCAAGAAAAAAGACTAAGAAACTGTCACAGACCTGAGGAAACTAAGGAGACAGCATCATGTCTAAATGCAACGTGGCATCTTTGCATTAGTAATACTTGAATAAAGTCTGGAATTCAATGATAATGTTTCAACAGTGGGTGTTTCGTTTTATAAGTGTGTCATAGAAGTGTAAAATGCTAACGTTGGGGGAAACTAGATGATAGGTATGCAGGAATTTTCTCTACTGTGCAACTATTAGATAAATGTAAAATTCTAAAATAAGGGTTATTCTGAAAATGAAAACATCCTGCTTGTAAGTTTAAAAGTGTTGTTGCCATTAAGCTGGCTGGGGCCCTTTTGCTCTATATACCTGCCTAGGAATCTTGGGTAGGCAGGAAGGAGCTCTCCTAGTGCTCGCATCCCAGGCTCTTGGGTGTCCAAGGTCCAGGGCTTGGACTGGCAGATCCTGAGGCTTACAGCTCCAAGCCCTGAGAGCCAGGGGCTTCTTGCTGTAGGCTTCAAAGTCAGAGACTCTAGGCTCTAAGCACTCAGATTGGAGGCTCATCATTCTGAGCTTTAACAACCAGTGGCCCTGGCACTTGATAGCTAAGGTAATTTTCAGTTTCCAACAGCAGTGGGTGGCATCAGACTACAGCAAGAAGCAGCAGACTGTGTCTTCTAGTGTTATTGTTCTTGAATAGTGACAAGTGCTACAGTTCTCAGCTTAGGCTGTTGGGATCCTCAGCTCTTGACAGTGGCTTCTCTTACAGCTCTCGGACCCAGGCTGTCTGAAACCCTTGCCTCTTAAGACTTGGCAGCTTTCTGGAAAGCTTTCTGGAACTATTCTAGCGACCAGGACCTGCAGTTCCTGGTCTATAGGTCTCATCTTCTCCATCACCTCTGTTCCCTGACATCCCTGCTCCAACTGCTCTCTGGAACTCTTTAGTTGCCCTCTTGTCCCTACTGCTTCTTCAATGCTGCTGCTGCCTTTGCCACTGCAACTGTCCCACTGTGCTTCCACTGTCCTCTCTTCATGTTACCAGGTCAGAGCACCATAATAATAATAAAGATCAAAAGTTGGCAAGAAAAGACCACTGAAGAGAAGCCTTTTATTGGACCTAAGGCTTCAACACCAGAGGGCAGCACAGGAGGTTATCTCCAGGCTGACTCACAAAGTGAGCTCAACAATCTGCTTGTGCAGTCACAGTAGGGTGTGGCAAGGGTGTCTGCACCAATTACAGCAGTCCTTAATGAAGGATTGTATTTGTACCAGTCACATGCCTTCTGCTAGGCCACTAGGGAAAGTGCCACCCCTCTGGCCTAGGTGGAAATGATTGGAGGGTCCTCCAGTGTTCACCAAGGCTTATGATGGCAAAAAGTCTGGCTTCAGTTGTTTGAAACAGTCATGGCTAGGGCAATGCCTTGAGGAGCCAAAGTTGTGCTTTGGCAGCAATCAGGTGTAGTTGCCATGTGGTTTCCTCAAGGCATCTGTGGAGTGTTCAATACAGGAGGGAGGGAAGTGAAGCTGGCTGCTTGGTTGATGGTCATTTATTCAAGCCAGGGGCACCAGGGAAGGGTCCAACAGTTATTAATTAGGGAGTCAAATTACCTGGAACCTCAACATCTTAGCTTTAAGAAAAAAAACATTAAAAAGGGTGTTTACAATAAAGGCTTATTATTAAGAGTGATTTAACAGGGCTGGTGGAGTGGCACAAGTGGTAGAGTGCTTGCCTAGCAAGCATGAGGCCCTGAGTTCAAACCCCAGTACTGCCAAAAAAAAGTGATTTAACGGTATTACAAAGTCTTCTAACAATACTTAACTCCTGTCCCAGTGCCCCAGGGAGAGGTGGGTACCTCTATGTCTAGGGTGATGACAGGACGATCTCCCCCTCTGTTAGTTTCTGGCTCAACATCTTTTAAACCTTCTTTCTCCTTCACCAGTTACACCAGTGGCAAGTGCCATCAGAAATGTCTGTTGGTCCTTATGTCACAGCTTAACTAGGAGAATTTCTATAAAGTATTCTACCATCAAAAGAGTCAGCAATAACTTATAATGAAGTGACTCAAATTGGTTCAATACTCCTTCACCAAGATCACAAAAAAGTCCAGAGCCATTCCACAGCACCTAGGATAAAGGGAAATGTTAAGGAAGGTAGTTGGAAGGGAAAAAAACCAAAAAGACCGGTCAGGAGGCTGAGGTAGGAGGATTACAAATTCAAGGCTGGGGGTGGTGGTGGTGGGCAACAGAGTAAGGCTCTGTCTCAAAAAAAAATGACAGGTCTTAACCAATGTCACTTTGAAGGGTACTTTTCTGACACCTTTTAAAAAAGAGAAGACAATGTATGAGCTTATGAATTCAGTGCTTGGGTTTTTCCTTGGGCTTTGGAACAGATGGGTATAAGGCATGGATCCTGAGACACTAACATTAGCTTAGTAATACACTGAAGTGTTACTAGTGTTTTAGGGTGTTCCAGGTGCTCTGCCATTTTTGAATATAGTATGTAAGATTAGGACATTGCTCCAGGTGCAGTAGAAGAACCATGCAGTAGAAGACCCATGAAAAGTAGAGACAGTAAACAATGATTGATTAGTAAAACGTAAGTACATCTGGAGGTGTTAGGTGAGCAGGCACTACATGTACTCAAAGGGATGAGGTACAGTTATAGGCTCCAGTAGCCTAGACACTTTGGGGCTTTATTCAATAGGGTTGGGCTACTGATTGGCACAAAACTAAGGCCCTCTCCTTGTGGCCCTCTCCTTGTGGCCCACCCCAAATGGTTTGAAGAACAAGCATGGGCTGCCCAGGTGTGGATCACTATCTTAATTTGTTGGCTCAGGTGTTGTTATTATGTCAATTGTTGGTCCAGATATAGGCCATTAGGAGTTTTATGACTCTATCTCCTAGAAGGAAAAGTAGCCCTGGGTATTTCCTCCTTCCTGCCTACCTTAACAAAAGTGTCTCAGAAGAAACAAGCCACCTTTGCCAGAAATGCCACAGTCCATTTTCCCCACCTGTTTAGTTCAGAAGCTCTGAATCTGTCAGCATGTCTCAGACCAAGCACTCACTCTTGCCTGAAGTGTTCTGAGCCACCCCACGCTCAGGCATGTCTCCCAGGCCTCATTGCACTTTCATTATAACATTTGATCACATAGGTTAAGCTTGTTTTCATCTCCCTGTTATCCTGTAGACTCACTCAGGGTGTGGTTCAAGGCTTTCTTAATCTTTGTACTGTCATAGTGGGCCCCCAGCAAGCCCTTACTGGGTAAATGAATTAAAGTTGTTGCTGAAGAAGGGAAGCCCCAGCCAGGAGGAGACTTGGGTCACCAAGGGCTAGAACATCACAGAGCTACCATGCCTGCACAGAGACTTTGGGGATCAAATGCACTGGGACGGTAAGAGAGTCTGAAAAGGAAATGGCTGAAAAGAAATACTGATAATCTCCTCCCCCTGCATATTAATGTTTTATCACACCTATGAACGTTGCCATGCTTAATATGGCTAACTATACATGTAATATTTTCAGTATTTTAAATTCAGACTGTCCTACCTAGAATATACAAGTACTTAAAAAGCACATGCCCCAGTGAACCAGACTACATAGACTGAAACTGAGGACAGGAAAGCAAAATCTTTATCCACGTCCAGCAACCCTGCATTCCTACTCCTCCTAAACAAAAACACACCCCGGATGTGAGGTCCGCTTAGGGAGAAGATCGCCTAGGTGATCTCAAGCCCCCATAGCGTGGAATGAAATAGGTTAGGCTTAAGACTCAGGGCTTCTTTCAAGGTAACACACCTTGGAGGTCACTTTCAGAACGTGGGTCTCCGTGCACGCGTACAGCACTAGTTTACAAAAAAGTGTTTTCTAGACACAAAGCGAGGCCCACAGGGAGGGACCCGCCCCTCAGCCGACCTCGCGCGTGCGCTCACAAACTGTGAAAGGTGGTTCTGGGCACGCGCCACGCCTTCGGTCCGCCGTTCCCTGGGCCCGCCTCCGAGTCGGAGCAAGCAGCTAATTGGCCAGCCTGGTCCGGCTCGGGGCGGGGATTGGCTGATTGACAACCACGTCCCGGGACAACCAGTCTGGAAGCCTGAGTAGCTGGAGAAGGTACCGGCTGCCGCGCGGCGGACGTAAGTGGGGGCTATGGTTGCGGAAAAGCGGTTGGCAAGGAGGGCGCGGTAGTGGCCCGAGGCTTGACGGCAATGGGACGCCGCGGTGACGGGGCAGGAGCAGAAGGAATCCGGTTCGGGATTGCGGGGAGGCCGGCGACTTCGTGGGCCAGCTGGGTGTGAGCACTGAGGCCGAAGGGAGGTGGGATGTCCTTGGTTGAGGGCCGTGATGGGCCCGGCGCTTGGGAGGACGGAGGGAAATCGGCCGCCTTGCCTCGAAGGCGGGGGTGCGCTCGTGCACCACCCTTGTACCCCACTTCTGCCCCTCCCCCACCCCGGGACAGTCTCGGGAGCGCTAGTTCCCGCGCTGGCCGCCAGGCGGCGCTCCCGTGGGTGCTGCGCCGTTCGCGATGGGCGTCCGACTCCGCGGTGCGCCAGCCGCGGGCCTCGGGGATTCCCCGAGGAGGAACGCGCTTGGGGTCAGCCCAGGAGTTTCCACCTGCCTCAACTGGTCCGGGCGCCTGTCACTTTCGCCGCCTAGCACTTCCCGCTCTGTCTTCCTGACCATTCCCAGAGAAAAGATCAGTTTTTGGGAGTTTAGAAACACATTTTATTATGAAGGTCAAACTTTGGAGAAGTTGAACAAATAGCGTAAAGGACTCAAGTGTGTCTGTCCATCACCCTGTTTGAGTAATTATCAGTTTATGGCCAGTCTAACAAGACCCCCTCCTCTGGATTATTTTATGTATTTCTACGCCTCTGACATGATCAGTAATCAAACTTTTTTTTCTAATCATTTGCCTTTTAGAGAGGTTGAGTAAAACAAGGCGTACATTACATGTAGACACCGCTCATTTAGTTTGTACTACAAGAATGTATTACAGGTTTTATATTACCCTATGTCCCGGTTTTCAAATCATGGGAAACAAAGGTACTAAATAATCTAGGCACCAGTGTTATGCTTTTAAGCAGAAATTATTTTGTGGATAGTTTCTATTTATGCAGTTCTTAGTATGTGTGAAGCACTGTGAAAATTGTTCCCATCTGTTCATTTAATTTTTACAACAGCCCTTTGAAATAGGAGCTATCTTCACTTCACAGTTGAGGGAAAAAGAAGTTTGGAAAAGTCACACAATTTGCCTAAAGTTACTCTGATGAAAGGACCGCTGTAATTTAAGATGCTAATCTTGGCCTTTGTCATGCCACGGTTTTTTTGTTTGTTTTGTTTTCTGAGGCAAGGTCTCCCTGTGTAGTCCAGACTGGCATCTAACTGAGATACTCCTGCCTCAGCCTCCCAGAGTGCTGGGATTACAGGCCTGTCAGCTGTACTCTGCAAATCTTGCCTTTTAACCTTAACTATATATCCTAAACGTTGAGCAGAGAACTACTGTGTAAAACTTTTTATTGAGCTACAAAATCTATAGTGGGTGGAAAACACCCTGGAAGTGTGTAAGTACAAAACAGTGAAAGAGGGATTTTTTTGTTTCTTTGAAACAGTAAAAGATTAATTTGATCTCGTTTGACTAAATAGATGTAGTTCAACAAATACAAGTATTAAAGTATTAACGCGTTTATTGTTTTAATAGCCAGTTAAAGGAAAAATACATACTACTTGTCTAGGTGTACTGTAACATGCCTTTAGCCTTTGGCATATACTGGATAGTCATACTGAATGTTTTTGTCTGTGTTTCTCATCTTCCTACTACTCCCATAGAGCATCTTCATCCAAATAGAGAAATAAGGAACTAGGAAGGCAGCTTTTTCAGAGGACAGTAGAGAAACTCCAATTCAGAAGTCTAAAATTAAGGTCAGGAGTTGGATTTAAGGAGCAATGAAGTGACATGATAAAAGCATCTCAGGGGAAGCTAGTGAGCTGGCATTGTCAAAGATGGCTTCACCTGAGATGTAAAAGGATTACTGGGCTGACCTGATGAATATATAGAAAATAGATGTGGGTAACTGATGAATTAATGTATTTAAGGAAAGGGATGGAGAAGGAAAAGTAGCCTGAAAATAGAGAAAAGGTGGTTGGGTGTGGTAGTGTTAAGCCTATATCCCAGCACTCAGGAGGCTGAATACAGCAGGAGAATTGCAGTTTGAGGCCAGCCTGGGCTACATTGGAAGACCATATTTCAGAAACAAAAAGCTTCAGGATAATTTGGTACAACTAAGTTCTGAAGTGCTGGTAAACTTCATTTCCCATATGTTTGTTTTCTTCAGCAGAAGCCTAGCACTGTTATTTGACATGTTAATTACAGCTCAGCTGCTCAATTGTTTTTTTTACATTTGTGTTATGTACTATTGATAGAAATTACACAATTTAGAAAAGCAACAAAAAAATGACATTGTAATCCTGCCATCTGGAGATATCCACTGATGATGCTTTACTGTACTGCCTGGAAAAGAGGTTGACAAAGTATGGCCCAAGGGCCCAAAGTTATTTGAAGCCCAGTTCTGTATGGACTGAGAGTGATGAGTGATTTTTATACTTGTAAGTGACTGGAAAAAAAAAACACAAAAAAACTTGATGAAGCAGGATGCTGGTGGCTAATGCCTATAATCCTAGCTACTCAGGAGGCAAAGATCAGGAGGATGGAGGTTCAAAGCCACTCCAGGCAAATAGTTTAAGAGACCCTATCTGGAAAATACCCATCACAAAAAGGGCTGGTGGAGTGGCTCAAGGTGAAGGCCCTGAGTTCAAGCCCTAGTACCACAAGAAAAAAAAAATGACATATGGAAATTGTATGAAATTCAAATTTTAATGATCATAAATAATCCTTTATTGGAATTCTACTTTTTTATAGCGTCTGTGACTGCTTTCACATAATGTTGAGCAAGTTGTGTCAGAGACTATGTCATCCACACACCTAAAAGATTTACTGTCTGACCCATCACACAAAAAGTTTGTCAGCCCTTGTTTTTGACCTTTGTAATGAATGTGCCTAAAAACATTTATTCACAAAAATTAGATTATGCAGAGTTTTTTTTTTTTTAATAAATTTGGCTTATATAATGAGCATCCATTTTTTTTCCCCAGAGTTAAAACCCTATCATCTTTTCAGTGTCTTCCAGGGTAGATGAGGTGTCATTGTGTATTTAACCTATTCTCTTTTATATAGTTTGGTTTCTTTTCCACTTTTTAAAAAAGTCATAAGAGGACAGCTTTTTCTTCTTCTTTGTGGTACTAGGGTTTGAACTTGAGGCCTTGACTGCTAGCCTGTTGACTTGCTCTATTATTGAAGCCACTCTTTCAGCCCTTTCTGCATTGGTTGTTTTTGAGATGTGGTATCACTTTATGTCCTGGCAGCCTGGACTGTGATCCTCCAGTTTATGCTTCCTCATATTGCTGGGATGACACACTACTGTGTTCAGCCATTGATAGAGAAGGGGTCCATGAACTTTTTGCCTGGACTGGCCTCAGACCCTTAATCCTCTCAATCTTTGCCTCCCAAATTGCTAGTAATACAGGCTTGTGCCACTGTGCTCAGTTTAGAAGAACTTTCTAGGAGTGAAATTGCTGTGTGTAGATATGAAATCACTACTATGTACATACTGCCAGGGTGCCCACCAGAAAGATTGTACTTTGCTCATGGCTTTGTTTGGTTTTGATTTTGCTTTTTGAGAGAGTCTGACTATGTAGCTCAGACGGGCTCCTGCCTCAGTCTCCTGAGTTCAGGCATTATAGCTGTGTACATGATACTTGGCTGGCCATGCCTTTACCAATATTGAATTTGTCCTTTTTCATCTTTGCCAGTTTGATAGGGAAATGGTAACAGTTTGAGTTAACATTTATTTGATTACTAGTGAGATCCTTAAACATTTCTTCATGTCTTATTTTCCATTTGTATAATTCCTATTAATGTCTTACACCTTTTCTTGCATAGGGCTTTTGATTTTTTGCCTTTTTTTTTTTCTTTGAGAGAGCATATCACTTTGTAGCCCGGGCTGGCCTCCAATTTGCAACCCTCCTGCCCAGCTAGTTTAAATTCATTAGGGATATTAATCAGTTGTATTAAGTTGCAGATAGCTTTCTCAGTTCTTACCCATTCTCTCTTGAAAGCTGCAGAGTGGCTATTAAAATGAAATACGTGTGTCAGTTGGGAGAACTCTCTGGGCTGCTCTTTTAGGGACCAGAATATGCCACCTTATTAACAGTTTCTTCATTTATGATACTGAGGTTTCAAATTAGGCAGATAGAAACGTTATATCAGATTAACTCTCCATGATTGAAAAAATACCTTGAAATACATTCTTTAATAGTAAATATATTAATGTAAAGTAGTATAACTAGGATTTTTTCTTAACCTTTAAGAAGTTTTATTTTTTGATTTGCCTTTTTATTTCCTTGGTGTTGGGCTTGAACTCAGGGCTTCACCCTTGCCAAGCAGATGCTCTTCTACTTGAGCCTCTCCACCATCTAAGAAGCTTTATTTTTTGAAATGGATTTCTCATATACTAGTAAATACTGATTTGATGAATAATGTGTACTGGTTTCCTAAAAGATGATTTTAGATGTAACAGGGATTCATTTTTTAATTTTAATCCAGAACCCTTTTTTGTCTCAATCTCTTTGAGCTCAGGTGGGGAGTGCAAACTATGATTACATACAGTAACACGATGCATAACAAAGTCAATAGCAGATCACATGGATAGGCAGTGGTCCCATAAATGTAGCTGAAAATTCCTTTCACCTGATAATGTCATTGCCATCTTGTCTATGGTAGTACATTACTTACTTGTCTGGTGGTGCAGGTGTAAAACCTACTATGCTGTAGTTGTAAGAAAGTAAAGCACATATGGTTGTGTACAGCACATAATACTTGAAAATAAATGACTATTGACTGGTTTATGTGTTTGCTATATTGTACTTCTTATCATTAGAGAGTACTTAAAAAAAGAGTTTGCAATATGCTGTGTTACACTGGCAGAAACCTTGTACATCTAGTGTTTACCATGTTTCTTGATTGCATCAGAGGCTGTGTGGTTGATTGACCCATACCATCTATGTTAGTTTGAGTACA